CTGAAGAAAACTAGGAGTTATGTCAGGGCACTGGCAAATGACCTTCATGATTTAGGTGGATACTGCATATTCTCTTTCTTTCTCACCTTGCTTTGTATCAAACAGTACTTACCTTTTAATGAAATGGATGGTGCCCCCTTGTCTCATGACTCCCTTGATTATAGTTTTATTCCTTCTGTAGCTACCTTCTTTCATGGTTCAGGCAAAAGCCTTTCTTTAGAAAATGAGAAAAAGAGAAATTAAAAATAAAAGGACTCTGACTGGGCATGGTGACTCACTTGTAATCCCAGCACTTTGGGAAGCTGAGGCAGGAGGATCGCTTGAGGCCAGCAGTTCAAGACCAGCCTGGGCAATATAGTGAGACCCCATCTCTTAAAATAAAGAGATCAGTGTTTCTCCAAGTTGGACTTCAGGGAGCAGGGCGAGTCGTCACAGGGAGGACTGTGGCCCCTGGCGTTTTTGGTTGTATTAGCAAAAATCGTCTCTGGCCCCTCCCTGTTATCAGTGGCTGGATCCATGTATGGAACTCAACAAAACCACCCAGTGAGCCCACCCTGCCACCTCACCCGATGGCCCCTCCATTTTTAGTGCCTCTCCCAACTTTGGGGTGGGCAGCTCCCACCTCCACCACTCAGTGGCCACAAAACCCCCAGAAGGTTCCTTGATCTGTCTGAGCCTCATCTCTCTCATTCATCTGAAGAGAACATGGACCTGACTTGCAGGGTTGTTATGCATCCCAACTAAACTCGCACAGTGTTGGTGCCCAGCGACATGCCTAGAAGCACAGTAAGCACTCCACAGATGTGAGTCACCCTCCTGGCAGCCCCTTCTGGACACAGAGCTCCTCTGACAGCGCACGGAGGAGGGTCTGATTTGTAGCCTGCGGTCTTGGGGGAGCTCTTGGGTTCTGAGATGAGAGGGAGTCTGGACGTTTACATGCAGTTCAAGGTCTTTTTTTTTTTGAGTTGGAGTCTCACTCTGTCGCCCAGACTGGAGTGCAGGGGCCGCTCCCGGCCACCGCAGCCTCGACCTGCTGGGCTCCGGCGATCCTTCTGCCTCAGCCTTCCAAGTAGCCGGGATTACAGGCACGCGCTACCATGCCCGGCTGATTTTTACATTTATTGTAGAGATGAGGTCTCGCTGCCCAGGCGGGTCTTGAACCCGCAGGCTCAGGCAGTCCACTCACCTCAGCCTCCCAAAGGCGCGGGATTACAGGCTGAGCCATCAAGCCTGGCTCAAGGTCTTTTAAATGTGCCTTTGACTAACTTAATTCCCAAACTTGACAGGCAAAAACAAACAAAACTAAGTCAACTCATCTCTTCTAAGGCTTTTGATTTCAGCCACTGCCTTGAGGAGCTCTTGCTATTTCAGAGAAGAGCAATCATGGCACCAAACAGTCATTATTCTGCCCAGTTAGCTCAGGGCCCACGTTGCCCGGGTAGCAGTGGCTCCAAAACAACGAAAAACTGAGAGATTTGTCAATTCCAAGCGACAAATTTGACTTACGTGAGCCAAGAGCTAGGTTTTCATTTTGTTGAATAGAGCCTGTCCTACACTAATGGGCTCTCCACCTTGTGAATGTGGCAAGGCTAGGAGGGTCCCTCCCCTCTGACTAGGGCCTGCTTGGTTCTGCATTCGGTCCACAGGCTTTCCGAAAACATAAGACTCCCCAGCCTCCTGGTGAAGCCAGCAGGTTTTCAACAGCCTCTTTGACAAAGAGTTATGTCAGAGCTTGCTCCAGGAAGCATGCCAGGTCCACTGTTAGGAGGGCATTTTCCAGTTTCAGCATGTAAGATGCTTGGTACGTTAACCTTAATCTCTCAGAATCTTTCATTCTTCAAAAAATATAGAGCCAGGAGCAGTGGCTCATGCCTATACCCCAGCTACTTGAGAAGCCAAGATGGGAAGATTTCTCAAGGCCAGGAGTTCAAGACCAGCCTAGGCAACTTGGCAAGACACCACCTCTAAAAACAAAAACTAAAAACTAGGGCCAAGCACAGCAGCTCACGCCTGTAATCCCAGCACTTTGGGAGGCAGAGGCTAGAGGATTGCCGAGCCCAAGAGTTTGAAAATAGCCTGGGCAACATGGAGAGACAGCATCTCTACAATATATTAAAAATATGAACCAGGCATGGTGGCACGTGCCTGTAGTCTCAGCTACTTGGAAGGCTGAGGAGGAGGGATCACTTGAGTCTAGCAGGTTGAGGCTGTAGTCATGATCTTGCCACTGCACTCCAGCCTGGGCGACAGAGTGAGACTCCAACTCAATAATATATACATATATATAATATATTTGAATGTGAATTGATTGTCCACAAGTCAATTTAGGTACAAAGACATGGGTTTACTTATCCTTTGAATTGTATACATAGTGTTTATCCCCACATTTTTATTTTTATTATTATTTATTTATTTAAGTTGTAGTCTCACTCCGTTGCCCAGACTAGAGTGCAGTGGCACCCTTCCAGCCACCGCAGCCTCAAACTGCTGAGCTCCGGCGATCCTTTCGCCTCAGCCTTCCAAGTAGCTGGAACTACGGGCGTGCGCAACCATGCCCGGCTAATTTTTTATTTATTGTAGAGATGAGGTCTCACCAGTTTGCCCAGGAGGGTCTCGAACCCGCAGGCTCAGGCAATTCACTCACCTCAGCCTCCCAAGGCGCGGGAATACAGGCTGAGCCACCGAGCCCGGCTAATTTTTTATTTATTGTAGAGATGCGGTCTTGCCAAGTTGTCCAGGGGGGTCTCGAAACCGCAAGCTCAGGCAATCTGCTCACCTCAGCCTCCCAAAGTGCTGGGATTACAGACTGAACCACCGAGCCCGGCTACATTTTTATTATTAAATATTCATATAGCAAAATTGAAAGAACTTTACAGTGAACCCTCATATACCCACTCCTTAGGTTCAGCCATTAACCTTTAAAAATTTTATTTATTTTTTATTTATTTTTAGAGACAGGTTTCCCCTCTGTTGCCTAGGCTAAAGTGTAGTGGTCCAATCATGGCTCACTGCAGTCTTGAACTCCTGGACTCAAGCGATCCTCCTGCCTCAGCCTCTAGAGCAGCTAGGACTACAGGCATGTGCCACCATGCCCTGCTAACTTTTGGTAGAGATAGGATCTTGCTGTGTTGCCCAGGCTGGTCTAGAATGCCTGGCTTCAAGTGATCTTCCTACCTGGGCCTCCCAAAGTACTGGAATCACAGATGTGAGTCACTGTGCTCAACCATTAACATTTTATATACTTGCCTTATCTCATCTACGCATCTACCTGTCCCTCTAACCATCTATCAATCCTTAATATTTTATGCATTTCAAAGAAATTTTCATAACCAGTCATGGTGGTGTGTGTCTGTAGTTCCAGCTACTTGGGAGGTTGAGGCTGAAGGATCGCCTGAGCCCAGCAGGTTGAGGCTGCAGTGGCTAGGAGTGTGCCAGTGTCCTCTAGCCTGGGTGACAGAGTGAGACTCCAAGTAAAAAAAAACACACACACAAAATAATTTGCAGACACCAGTACACTTCCTTCTAAATACTTCAGTATATTAGAATTCAATAAGAAATGAAGTGTACATTCACTGAGTTTGGACAAATGTATGTACCTCTATCAATAGAACACTACTAATCCCAGAAAATTCCCACATATCCCATCTCAGTCTGCAGAAGCAACCACTCTTCTGAATCTTCTCTACCATGGATTAGTTTTGTCTGTTCTAGAAAGTCATATAAATGGAATCACTAATGTGTGTGTGTGTGTGTGTGTGTGTGTGTGTGTGTAATACTTATTTTACTCTCTGTAATGTTTTTGATATTTACCTGTGTTGTTGCATGCATCAGTAATTTGTTCCTTTGTATTGATAAGTAGTATTCCATTTTATGATTATAACTGTACTATAATCATATCCATTCTCTTTTTGATAGACACTTGACTTGTTTCCAGTTTTTTGGCTATTATGATGAAGGGGCTTAGAACATACCTGGACAAGTCTTTTTTCATTTCTCTTGGGTAAATACCTAGGAGTAGAATTTTTGAGTCATGGAATAGATGTGTGTTGAATTTTATAATACATTGCTAAAACTTTTTCTGAGAGCAATCACACCATTTACACTCCCACCAACAATGCAAGAGAGTTCCAGTAGCTCCAAATCCTAGCCAACATTTTATGTTATCAGTCTTAGCCATTCTGCTGGATGTGTAGTGGTACCTCATTGTGGTTTTAATTTGCATTCTTCTGGTAACTTGCAGAACACTTTTCATTGTACAGTGATTTTGTTAAAAATTTAATTCATATACCATCATTTCAAAATCAAGAGGTTTCAAATAAGAATCCAGATTCCCACCTTCTTATGCAACAGTAAAGGATTGGCAAATCTGGGCTCATATTTCCACACAGGAACAATCAACAGAAGCTGGGTAGTGGCTGTGCTTTTAGGGCATCTGCTCTTAATTCCCCAGAGTCCCTATCCCTCCTCACAACTCCCCCATTGTCGATTATCATACATCATCATATTTGCAGTGTTGTTTTCCTTGTGAGCATTTCTTGAGTCCATGCCATTATCAATCTGGAAAAAGGAGAGGTAGATCAAGAGGGACTTATATTTCAAAAAAGGTAGAAAGACCATATTTCTCTGTGACAGTGAAAAAATATTTCTACAATCTTTAATATGTAAATTATACGGATCTGTTTTGAAAGGTTACTACTTCAGATTCTGTAATGAAACTGCCTAGCTTTACTCATTTTTACTATCTGTCTGGCCCCTTTAGGATTTTGAGTTTGCAACTCCTATAATGCAACACTTAAACTGATAAATTATGTCTCAAGGCTGCACTAACTGGAGATTATTTAGATATACAAAGGCATCTAATTTCGTGTCCTTTTACTGAAAAGGGGGGAAAAACACTCCAATAATGCTTCATTTAGAATATTTTGTGTGTTATAAAACATTGAGGCTAAAAAAAAATTGTTTCACTTTCTCAAATTCTATAATTTTGCTTTTAATTCCAGGATTGTAAGTGGAAAATGTATATGGAGATGGATGGGGATGAAATTGCAATAACCTACATAAAAGATGTGACATTCAACACTAACCTACCTGATGCCGAGATTTTAAAGATGACAAAGGTAGGGTTCTATTTACGGCTTAAAAGCTTTTTTGAATTCGTAGATATCAAACAAAGACATTAAAATACCCCAGCAGTGTGCTTTTGTGCTTGTCGATGCTCACATGAGCTCAGCTTCAAGCTGACTGTTGAAAGGCACATTTTATTTAGCAGATTGAGATCATAATAGGTTTTTGTTAAAATTCCACTTATGCTGTGTGAACTGAAAAGCACTGCAAAAAAGTATCATTTAATTTTTTTTAAATTGTTTCTTCTGTATTTCTTTGTGGTTATCTGTCATTTATTAAAGGAAAGAAAATGCTAAGGGTGAAAATATTGACTTCAAATTTTGAATTCTTTTAAACTTTGGGCAACTTACAAGGAGGAAGACTTTCTTGGTTGAATTCAGTTTTTTGAAGGATGGGGGTTATTTACGAGGCACACGCTGAAGTCTTAATGGCGTCCTTGAGTTCACATCTATGAACTCCAGGAGTGACCAGAGACTAGGTCTAGTCTCTCCTGAGGCTTATAGTCTAGTGTTGAGGGGAGATAGATATAAATAAGTAACAAGTAAGTAAATCATGTCAGAGATGATAGGTGGCAAATGGAAAATGTGTGACTCAGGGGGTATTAGACTGGGTGGTCAGGGAAGACCTCTTCTCTGAGGAGGAGACAGCAGAGAAGAGCAGAGGAATAGTCAGTGCAAGTCCCCGGCGCACAGAGTACAAAGACAAGGCTTTTAGGATCAATGGTAGAAAAATGCTGATGAAAACACTGCAGAAAGACTGACAGAAATGCTCAGCTTCCTTCTCAAAATGAAAAAAATTCCAGGCTGTTCCAATCATACTGAAAAAATACATATGAATACATACTTCAATTATAGAAGGTCAACAACTTCAAACAGATAACCATTATGTCAACAGGACGTTCACCCTAACCTTACAAAAGCCATCAACTCCAGTGCACTATCAACTCTCTAGGAAAAAAGTGAGGTTTGAGGTGAAGAAGGACCAGGGTGCAAGCACAAGTAGGGAAGTAAAATGGTTCTTTGGAGACATGCATTAGACTTGTAAATGTGTTCTCTTCATAGGCATGAGATTTCTAAGTCCGTTTAATTTACAAGTGGATTCATCCAGTGAATTGATTTGTTAGTCTTTGTTGGATTCTACTGTGCAACTAGGAGTTCATTTCAATGGCATTATTTGCCTGTAAGGGTTATAACCTTTTCTTATTTTGTTGGGACATAGTATATTTTAATGTCTTGAAGACTGGAGTGATACTTTCTCCTTTTCCATACCTGTGACATGAAATTGTAAAATGGAATACTACAGGTGTTTTATTATAATGCAAATTTACACACCAACATTAACAGGACTTACAGGAAAAATAGAATTGGGCAGACCATTCAAGATGGATAAAACTGCAAACACCAACAGAAACAATAGCAATCCTAACTTTTAAAAAAAAACCAAAAAAAGTAGCTCAGTTAAATCTCTACCACATGTTCTCTGTACCCAATTCACAGTCAATCATTCCTTTGCAGTCTTAAGTCTAGAGTGAACAGGGAATGGGAAGTGAGTGCAGCTCCCTTCTAACAGAGACTATTTTCATCAAGATTAAAATGGAAGCCGGGCTTGGTGGCTCAGCCTGTAATCCCGTGCCTTTGGGAGGCTGAGGTGAGTGGATTGCCTGAGCCCGTGGGTTCGAGACCCACCTGAGCAACTTGGCGAGACCTCATCTCTACAATAAATCAAAAAATCAGTCGG